AGTCATGAACAGCACATCTAGTACAGGGTTATTCTGATTCTGTCTGAGAAATATCCTCTTTTGGATGAAGAGGTATTAGCAGCTTCACAAACACTGTCAGCTAATCAAAAAAACCTAGAAAAACTCCACAGCTTAGTGGTTTCCTGTCACTTGCTCTAGAAGTCAGGAATGCTTGGAAATGAATAAATGTATTAATAAACAGCAGCCTGTCAGAAGCCTTTGGTACACCATGAGCCCATGTACTGCATGGCATCCTTGTCTCTAAATTGGAGAGACATCAATTTGATGGATGGACCACTCAGTGGGTAAAGAACTGGCTGGATGACCGCACGCAAAGAGTTGTGGTCAATGGCTCAATGTCCGGCTGGAGACCAGTAATGAGTGGTGTCCCTCATGGATCAGTGTTGGGACCAGTCTTGTTTAACGTCTTCGTCGCTGACATGGACAGTGGGATTGAGTGTGCCCTCAGCAAGTTTGCCAATGACACCAGGCTGTGTGGTTCGGTTGATACGCTGGAGGGAAGGAATGCCATCCAGAGGGACCTCAACATGCTTGTGAGGTGGGCTGATGCCAACCTCATGAAGTTTAACCATGCCAAGTGCAAGGTCCTACACCTGGGTCGGAGCGATCCCAGGCACAGCTACAGGTTGGCCAGAGAAGAGATTCAGAGCAGCCCTGCGGAGAAGGACTTGGGAGTGTTGTTCGGTAAGAAACTTAACATGAACGGGCTTCAGTGTGCACTTGCAGCCCAGAAAGCCAACTGTATCCTGGGCTGCACCAAAAGGAGTGTGACCAACAGGTCGAAGGAGGTGATCCTGTCCCTCTACTTTGCTCTTGTGAGACCTCACCTGGAGTATTGTGTGCAGTTCTGGTGTCCTCAACATAAAAAGGACAGGGAACTGTTGGAACAAGTCCAGAGAAGGGCCATGAGGATGATCAGGGGACTGGAGCACCTCCCATATGAAGACAGGCTGAGAAAGTTGGGGCTGTTCAGCCTGGAGAAGAGAAGGCTGCGTGGAGACCTCGTAGCAGCCTTCCAGTATCTGAAGGGGGCCTATAGGGATGCTGGGGAGGGACTCTTCATTAGGGACTGTAGTGATAGGATAAAGGGTAATGGGTTAAAACTTAAACAGGGGAAGTTTAGATTGGATATAAGGAGGAAATTCTTTACTGTAAAGGGTGGTGAGGCACTGGAATGGGTTGCCCAGGGAGGTTGTGAATGCTCCATCCCTGGCAGTGTTCAAGACCAGGTTGGACGAGGCCTTGGGTGATATGGTTTAGCGTGAGGTATCCCTGCCCATGGCAGGGGGGGGTGGAACTAGATGATCTTAAGGTCCTTTCCAACCCTAACTATTCTATGATTCTATGATTTGCCAGTCAAATCTATGTGATGCTCTCAGCATTCCCAGACACCAAACTGTTTGCATAAGAATAGACATGGAATCTGCTTTTAAAGGGTAGTATTTCAAAGTATGGTGCCTGACACTAGTTTCTACCTAAGTCGTAAGCAATATTTAGTTTACAGGCCTGACACACGTGTCGTTTATTTAGCTCATATTTACACTTATTTCTTTGAGCCAGGTTGTAAATTTTCTAACAGAAAAAGTACAGCCCATACGTATTTTAATGACTGATCATATACACAGCAGGAGTCATCACTAATTTCACCCTAGCTAAGTTCTCCCTGCTGCCATCCAAGTACATGAAACATGATTTCTTGGCTGAGACACTCTTTCTGGGACAGGAACAGGACGGCTGGAATACCGACTGGGTGGGAAGGCAGAACAGGGTCATAACAGGAAGGGATATGAGGCAGAAAGAGAGTAAAGGGAAGAAAAGCATGGGTGGAAAAAAGAGGAAATAAGTGAAAGCAAGTGAGGACTCCTTCTGTCAACTTCTGTCTCTTTTCCTTTTTTCTAAGGTCCTCTCAGGCTCTTCCATCATCCCTTTTGATTAACATCTTCCTAACTTCTCCTGTTTCTCTTTTCTCATTCCTCTATATTGGCCTTTTCCCTCTTCTGACACAATCCAAAAGAACGGTGGCAGCAAGGCATGAGCTGTGGGCAGGTGGGTGACAGCCCCTGCCAGTGGGAAGCTACTCAAACACGGAAATGCAATGCAGTGCAGTGGTGCCTTTCCATGCTACACTAGGGAAAACCACTTCAAAGATGAACACTACTGCACAAATACTGGATATGGAAAGGGAAGTGTTTGCTATCAAGACAAAGAAACTAATAACATGACAGCAAACAGTTTTGCATAAAGACAAATCTCTATCATAGAAAATGAGACATATCTGAACAGTAACCTTTTCTGTGCTTCAGGGTCTGAAACGGAGTAGCTGAGTGGAGAAGCAATCTTGCTCCCAGTTATCCTTACATGAAACCAACATGCTCGATTTTCTCAAACAAAGGGAACAGAAAACAAAACAATTTTTTAAGATACAACTGATTTGCAAAAAGGTCATGATCTCATCATGGAAATCAAAATGACATGCATTGCATGATACATGGGTATGTACTTTACCTTCTGATATGTTCCAGAAGACACCTCACATCTGGCTGGTTTGGGGGCTTTTTTTTTGGGTTTTTGTTGGTTTTTTTTTTTTTAAACAAGCTGTATCTATGTACAAAGAAAGTCAGAGGAACTTAAACAGTGTCACAGCCTTAATACTGATTCATGTGTGTGATCAAGAGCTTAATAATTTAATGACATATTACCAGTCTGTAAAATTTAATATAAAATTTGTATACTCTGTGATCATTGGGTAATGCTTGATCTATAAACCAAGATTTTTTCAGTAGCAGGCTTTTCTCAATTATTTAATACAGATTTCTTACCTTTTTTGTTCCAATATTTTTCACTGCTTTTGAACTTCAGTAGCACTGTAATGTATCTTTATATGGAGACTACCAAGAGAGTTTCTTTAGACAGAGAGTAATTTTTATGCTGTTACTCTGCTAGTTCCTATTAGATTTATACACATATACATATTTCATATTTTGTATCATTACATCTTTGTAACATTAATTGTTCAGTGAGAACAAAACACATTTAGGCTATCTTTCCGTTTTCGTATTCCTGCACTAACTATGGGATAAATTAACCTTAATTATCTGTCAAGCATCGCATACACTTAGAACACTTGCAAGTAGTAAGACAAATTTTGAAGTTTCTCTAAAGCCCAAAATAGTCTCTTTAAGTCCCACATCACAATATTGGTGCACAGCAGTCCTGAGGGACATCTATTTCTGAGGTATAGGTTGATCCACCCTATTTGTTTTTCATAGAATAACAGACTCATAGAAGGGTTTGGATTGGAAGGGACCTTAAAGATCATCTAGTTCCAAACCCCCTGCCATGGGCAGGGACACCTTCCACTAGATCAGGTTGCTCAAAGCCGCATCAAACTGCACCCTGAACTCTTTCAGGGATAGGGCAGCCACAGCTTCTCTGAAAAACCTGTGCCAGTGCCTCATCACCTCATAGTGAAGAACTGATTCCCAATATCTCATCAAAATCCCCCCTTTTTCAGCTTAAAGACATCCTTCTTTGTTCTATCCCTACCCGCCCTTGTAAAAAGTCCCTCTCGAGATTTCTTGTAGGCCCCTTTAGGTACTGGAAGCTGCTCTAAAGCCTCCTCTTCTCTACACTAAACAAGCCCAATTCTCTCACCCTGTCTTCATAGGAGATGTGCTCCAGCCCTCGGATTATCTTTGCAACTTCCTCTGGGCTCAATCCAACAGATCCATGTCCATCTTATACTAGGGACTAGAGCTAGATGTAGTACTCCAGATGGGGTCTGAAGAGAGAGGAGTTGAGGGGGGGAATCATTAGAAAACCTGAAAAATTATCCCTCTGCAGACAGTAATATTGATTGCCATCTTCTGGTTTTACTCAGTCTTAGTATCAGCTTCTAATGAGTTTGATCTGCCTTGAGTAGAAACTCAGTAAGGTTTTCAGCACTTAGCGCAATAGTAATTAAAAAAAAAAAAAGCCTCTATTTAAGGAAAATATCAACATCACAGCATGTTTGATTCTCCATTGTCCAGCAATCTTATTTAGTTGCTAAACAAATGAAAGAAAATAAAACACTATGGATTTCTGCAAGAACCTTGAGTTTCTCCAGTACTCCTGGCTCAACAGCTGCCTTTCCTTTTAAGTAGCCCTAGAAGATCCAGTCTGAACCACAGCAGGATTAGCTGGTTGCATAAGAAAACCCTGGAGAGGAATGCACAGAGCTTGCGGCATTTTGCCAGGCAATGAGCAATGTTCCAGCCCATAGTACAAACCAAGAAAGTTTCCATCACCAACAGATGAGCTTTAGAAAAAGGAGCTGAAATAGCTTCATACGAGTGCCCCACCCTACACCTCCGATAGGTATGGTAGAGGAGAGTATGTCCACACATCTCTGCTGCTTGGCATTACAGCCCTGGGCTGAGAACCAGTGCAGCCAAGATGCTGCTTGTATTTGCTCATACTGAGGCAGCAACCTCGAGCAAAGGAGTAGTGCTGACAGCAGGGAGCAATAACTTATAAAGACCACCTCAGATGTTTGATTCAGTGCACACAGAACAAAGCCTCTGGGGAAGCCACCAGGCTGGTCTTATTCAGAAGAGGGTCCTCTCCTGGCATCAGAATCACTCAGGTTTGCAATGGAAGAGGTGCCATTAAGCTCCTACCCTCCCCATACCAGACACTTCATTCTGAGACTTGCGATGTAGATCCTGTAGGACCTGACAGAGCTTGGCCATGCTGGGCATTATGGGAAAAATTTATTTTAAAAAACTAAATAGGTATTGTGCTTTTGGAAAGAAATTCATAAATATTATGCTTCCATGGAGTAAAAACAATATGTACCAATATATTTTCTGCAACATAGGAAATGGGTTCCCAACTCCAAAATCACATCAGTGTGTTAGTGAGCACAGTTTTACATGTACATAATTCCTTCTTTTTCCTGATGTATTTGTAGGTAAAAACTTCACCAACTTATGTGATATTTCTTACATATTTTTAATATATCTCTACCTGAAGAGCAGCAAATTATAAAAGCAGATTCTGTATAAGCTATCAGATTGCTGCAGGGGAAAAACAACCAACCAAACAAAAACTGTTTCCACAAAACCAAACAAACACTGACCTCACATGTAAAACTGTTTTCCTGACTCCTTCTCCCCAAAAAATGCATAACATTAATTGTGTAAAGACTAAACCACCATATGAGGCATATTTTAAAGCCTCATATAAACAATGACGCTTCTATGGCATCCTCAGAGCAAAGAATGTCCAAATATGGCTGAGAGTTAAGTACCCTGAGAATTAACTGCTCTTAATAAATTCACTGAAGTTTATAAGTCCACATTTACCAAGAATCAGAAGAGAAATGAAGAGAACACTGCTCATTTTCCTGTACCATTCTCTAAAGATGCTGTGTTATAAGCATCCTCCATATCTTGGATGCTGGATGCATCTGTTGAATCTTGGTCACTGGCTACAATTCCTACTGAAGAAAGGCTAGAAATGAAGGAGTGCATCTTTTTTGCATAAATATCCCTAATATTAAAATAAGGTAGGTCATTACATTTCTCTTTGCGATCATTGTTGCATTGGTCTGGATCAATATCTTTTTGCTTTTGATAGTACTTAGAAAACTTATTGAAAATAATGGTGATTGGAAGTGCTACCACTAGTATCCCACAGATAATGCACAGGGTGCCGAGCAGCTTTCCAGCAAGAGTGACTGGGTAAGTGTCCCCATAACCAACAGTGGTCATGCTGATGGTTGCCCACCACCAGCAAACAGGGATGCTTTGCAGTTCTGATGAGTCATCATCTTTCTCCACTGAGTAAACAAGCACTGAAAAAATAGAAATCCCAACAGACAAAAACAAAAGCAGAAGTCCAACTTCCTGATAGCTATGTCTCAAAGTGGCACCTAAAGACCGCAGTCCTACAGAGTGCCTGGCCAGTTTCAGGATGCGAAATATCCTCATTAACCGCAGGATCTGAACAACTTTCCCCATGTTTTCTATGTCTTCACTTTCTTCTTCCTTCGTGTCTACAGCTAACGTGGCATAAAATGGGATAATAGAGACAAAATCAATGATATTCAGTGGTTTCTTCCAGAACTTCTTTTGACTTGGAGCAGTGATGAGCCTGATCACTAGCTCCGCAGTGAACCAGATGATGCACGTGATCTCCACAGCTTCCAGCACAGGGTCTTCAATCTCCCTGTCATTGGCATCCAGCCTTTGAAACTCTGGCATGCTGTGAATGCACATGGCCACAATTGATGCCAGGACAACACTCAGGGATGACACGGCAATTAACTTGGCAGATAAGCAGTATGCTGGATTTTCCATTCTGACCCAGATCTTCTTTCTTATTTCACCAAAACACAGATTGTCAAACTTTTCCAGCTCTTTATCAAATATGGATGATTCTTCGTTGGAGGAGTCTATACTTCTGTCATTGCTCTTCTGATCCCAGTCTTTCTCAGGACCTTCTTCTTTTCTTTCTTGGTACCGATTGCTGCAGCAGGAATCAATAAACAGCTCATTTATCCCCCAGTACTCTATTTCCTGGCAGAAGGAAAAGACACAAAGTTCTTCCATGACGTGAAGTTTACCTGTATAGTAAAAATTCAGAACATATCGGAACAAGGAAGGATTTCTGTCAAAGTAATATTCCTTGTCTGCAACGCTGTAATCATCACACAGCTCTAGGATAGCCTCTTCTGAATGGCATTTAAGAAGTTTCCCAAGTCTGGTATGGGGAAATCGGAGCAAGGTGCTTTGATCCACCGATTGCTTAAAGCCACCCACATTCAAATTGATAAGTTCTGCATCTTTGCCAGGTCTGCGGAAAAATTCACCATAAACCATTTTGAATAGATGAGTTCCACTTCTGGTGCCCAATGAGATTACATTGAACCTGAAAAGAATATAAGGTATTGTTAGAGCACTTAATTCAGTTTCTCTCTTGCACCACATCGTTTTTTCCATGTCTGGTTACTGTGAAATGCTTTAAGAAAAAAAAGAAATGAAGTAACGAATACCATTATTCAGCATTTCACAAAAGCACATTTAAATCAGGTTTATGGCTTAACACAGCTTTAGCAAATGTTAAATCAACAGGTTCTCTTTACTCTCCATAATTTTTTCTAGTATGGAAGAAGAATGCCTAATTCATCAGTAAATCAGTCCGAGTCTACTATCATATTGAAATTAATAATCATGAAATAAGTTTACTATGATAAAAATGTTTAAACTAAAGACAGAAAACTTATCAATCCATCAAAACATTTCATAGAATCCCAGAATGTTTTGTGTTATAAGGGACTTTTAAAGGTCATCTAGTCCAACCTCCTTCAATGAGCAGGGACCTCTTCAACACATTTAGGCCAAAGCATAAGAGCAGGTGCCTCTCAATTATGATGCAAGTAGAATTGCATTGATGTATATAATGTTGCAATTTATAACCCACTACTTTCAACATTAGCTGCTTGAATGTGGACTGCAATTACTTCTGCTGTCATATCAATTAATTTCTTTCTAGAGTCACCCACAGCAGAGCATTCTGTATTCTTGAAAAGATATCAAATGTGCATTTGAAGCTTTCCAATTTCTGACTTCAGAGTTCTGTCTCGTACGTATCTGGGTATCTGCACCTGACTTCCTACTCACCTGGACTGTCACAGCCCTCTTCAACCTTGGTCAGTTCCAGAAGAAATTCCTGTTCTGCCACAGCATAGACATAACCACAAAAGCAATGCTGAAAAGTTGGTGTTTAAAAGTCATTTCTGGACAGAGAGGCTTCCAGAGACTTCCACAGTAATTTTGCCTCAGCAAGTTAACTATGGATACCTGCAGACAGACAGAAGGACATTTCAATGTTTCCATACTTTACTGTAAGTTAAAACATTCACCTGAAACTTAATTCAAAAGGCAGATATAGTTACTAGAAAATAAGTTAAATTTTTCAGAACTTAACTCTTGCTTTCCTTCTAAGGAACAGTTGTCTACAAGCCAAAATTGGCAGTTCTTACACTTGTCATGAGATTATGTATAACTTCTGACCACAAGGAGAGCAAATTTTTTTTGATCTCTGACACTTAAGCATTAATTGATGTATACTAAGCTTTCATTTCAATTTAATATGGAAGTCCATGAATTTTAAATGTGACAAGAGAGCATTGTAATTCTCCAGTCCTAACAGATGAACTCGTATGCAGCACAGAAATTGCTTTGGTGCTCTTTAATGGTTTGGGTAAGCTACTCAAGGAACAGACTAATTTCTATACCTGCTCATCTTCCAGTGCCTCCTGCAACAGCACCAATTATAATTTGAAGTTAGGACATGTTAGAGTTTGGATATTTTCTGTAGCTCCTCAAGGTCTCCTGACTCAGTTAATGAAAGTCATTAAGGTTATATTTATATCCCTGTTGGCAGTGTGTGCACCATGGCTGCATCTCTGCTGTACGCCAGCATTGACAGGGGAGTACCAGCACTGGTTTACATAAAAGAATCCTGGGCATTTTCCTCAAACAAGAGTCAGTGTAGATTTTAATCAGAGTGTCAGAGTGGATTGATGAGATACTGGGCCGCAAGGCTGAGCCCCACTTTACACCATCAGAACAAGTAGGAAGCAAAAGAAAAAAAAAATAAATAACCACTCTCCACAATCTTTATTCACTGTCAGCAAGAACAGTTCAGCTTTCATTTCAGCCTCATGTACTTGCATTAATGGACGAGTTCTTTTGAGCAATATACGCCACTCCAGTGCCTTCCACATGGGATGATCACTGGGAGCCCACAGTGGCACAGTTCCAGGGCGCAAGTTAAGGCACATCAGGTTCTAATACAGATTCATTTTTCTGTTTAGGGTGAGGTTACAAAGAACTTTTGTCATGATCTTCTCACTCATCTTGCCTTTAACTTCCCCCCCTCAACAAGGTTTTTTTTTAGGTTTGTCACAAATATCACTTAGAGATCTACTCAGTGCTGTTCTCTCCCATTATTCAGCTTGTATAATTATTATACTTTGATAGTCCTTCATGCAAGTAGGAACACAGGGCCTGATGCTATGAACCTCACGTATTCTACTTCTGCTTCTTCATGGGACTCATTCCAATAAAAGCTGCTGGAAATCTCACAGTAATCTCCCTGTGCATAACAACTACTGACACATATAACACATGATCAACCAGGCCTAGAAGATGCTGAAACTACATATTTGCTCTTGTAATTAGCTCTGCAGAAGCAGATCTACATCCAGAGTGAACTTTATTTATACAGTGAAAGAAAAATGTTATTTTGAAAAATGAGAAAAAGCAGTTGTTCTTCTGTCACCAGTACCATTCTCTCTAAACTAATTTAGATTTGAGATGAGTTGTTTTCCATTTGCATAGCCTACTATACAATCAAAATAAAGTTCTTGTTTTGCTAAGACATAGAGGGGTAGGAAAAGTACTATATGAGACAAACTGCTTTCTAACTAAGCAAGACAAGAATAGGCAGGTTTTATGGCATGATAAACTGTGTACATAGATGTGATTTTATACCTTAAGATGTAGCTTTAAGACAGGTATTTACTAGCCAAACTGAATGACTGTAAGAAACAATTACTCCAATCATTTCCCAAGGCTCAGCTTTTAGGAATAATTAAGACATAAAATAAAAGCACTGATCTCTTCTCACAGGTGAAGTGCAGCAGGACTCAGATGATGAACAGTACCATACTTCCCTCATGATCTAGAGCCAAGCTATGTTTTACAACTCTCTACATTAAAAAAAAATAAAAATAAATAATTCTCATGGACTGGAATAACTGGAGGTCAAAGTGTATTCAAAACAGACATTCCACTTATCAATTACTTTCAGTAAAATCTCTACTTCTCTTTCAGCAATTGAGAGCACTAGCAATGTAAACTAGTACTACAAATCCAGAAAAAATGTCAGTTGATCTAGGGGTTCTTATGACCATAATAAAAACAAAGCAAGTTTTACTCAGAAATAACTAAAGTGAGAACTCAGTGCTCAACAAATCCTTAGCACACTATACTCTGACTTACTGTTTTATACATCAATATAACACCATATTGATTATGTAGATGATATTCATAATGGTGCCTCCATGTAATTGCTCTGTATAATAAATTCAATGAGCAACATTTTACTGCTTTGTTTTGAGGGCACTGTAGTCATAATTTGTGCAAGATAAAGAGAAAAAATAAATCTTCCTTAGGAACCTGCTATAATGCTACTATTATTTTTAGATTAAATAATGTACAGGAAACTATGAATAGAAAATATGCTAACTATGTCAAGAGAAGCTTCGTGATCTGAAGAATGTCTTGTTTGACTTGCAGGGACCTTGATCCCTGACCGTGGACCAAGAAATTGTTATGCCAGGCACCATCAGAATAATTTCTGGCATTCAAACAAGTGACTTCAGCCACAGGGCAAAGACCACAGAAGACAACTTCTGCCTCAGCCTGACTTGCTCTCTACTCAAGGGAACTCTTTATTCACTCAATCAAAGGTAAAACTGCTCAGCTGGAAACATTTGCTGGTGTGCCAAAGCCTGTGTCACAAACATCCTAAGAACATAAAGCTACCAGAAAATTAGCAACTCTCAAATTGAAGTGCAACATTGAAGTCTTTGATCTTCCATACACAACAAATATTCATATACAACATCATAAACTGCTAAACATTTCAAAGCACACACTTCTTGTCCCGGAGAGAGTATGAGAGAGTAAACAAACACATATCAGTTGTTAGTTATTTGCTTTCATTGCTTCAGTTGTTTGAATGACCTACTGGATAAGAAATCATATAGAACAGGAAACAAAACAGAATACAAAAGAAAGATGCTTACTGGAAAAATTAACATTTTCCAAGATGATGAAAAACCCCAACAAATAAAAGTTCCAAATGTTAAGCTTCAGGGCTAAATAAAAGCCAGTCATAAGGCAAAGCTGTGTGAAAAAGGATACAAACATTAGAATAAAAATCAAAATGACAGGATCCAACTCCCAGTCCAATTTGCAGATGGGCTCTAGCCAGAGCTTCTGCAGTCATACATCGCTGGCAAGGCCACAGGCCCATTGTCTGACTATGGAAGTGATACTGTAAATTTCTGGGCTTTTACACACTGTGAAATCCCTAAAGCTCACAGAAGAAGAGTCACTGAGACAGAGTTTGTATAAGGCTGTGTGGAGACCTCGTAGCAGCCTTCCAGTATCTGAAGGGGGGTTATAGGGATGCTGGGGATGGACTCTTCATTAGGGACTGTAGTGACAGGACAAGGGGTAACGGGTTAAAACTTAAACAGGGGAAGTTTAGATTGGATATAAGGAAGAAATTTTTTACTGTGAGGGTGGTGAGGCACTGGAATCGGTTGCTCAGGGAGGTTGTGAATGCTCCGTCCCTGGCGGTGTTGAAGGCCAGGTTGGACAAAGCCTTGGGTGAGATGGTTTAGTGGGAGGTGTCCCTGCCCATGGCAGGGGGGGTTGGAACTAGATGATCTTAAGGTCCTTTCCAACCCTAACTATTCTATGATTCTATATACAGTCCCTTTTAGAGAACTATGTCACAGATGTATAACTGTCGTGGTTTAAACCCAGTCAGGTAATTCGTTCGCTCACTCCCCCCCTTTTCTTGCCCTCCCCCTGCTCTCGGAGGGACGAAGGAGAATCGAAAAGAATGCAACTCCCACGGGTTGAGATAAGAACAGTTTAGTAACTAAGGTATAACACAAATCACTACTGCTACCGCCAATGATAATAATGATAAAGGAAATAACAAGGGAAGAGAATACATCATCTCACCACCAGCCGACCGATAACTGTCCGACCCATACCTCCTCCAACCCTGCAGTCTCCCAGCCCTTCTGGCTCACTCCCAGTTACCTCCTGGGCATGACGTGCTGTGGTATGGAATACCTCTTTGGTCAGTTTGGGTCAGGTGTCCTGTCTCTGCTTCCTCCTGGCCTCCCCTCCTCCCTGGCAGCAGTGTCCTTGCCAAACCTATGGTTCCCATTCAAAACACTGCACTGCACACAACATCTGAAATATTGCTGTCCAAACCCTTCTGCAAAGTTTCTCTGAAATATTTAACTGCAAATGAGAAACTTTGCTGACATCTTTCACACAATCTCTGTACAAAGCCCCATACTCTGCGAGGTTCTACATCACAAGCTTCAGTACATCTTCTTTGACGTGTTGCACATTTGAGTATGGCAGTACCTCAGCTACCGGTAATTCCAAATTGTTATGGTTTCAGTTTTTGTTAGCATTAATCTGTCTGTGGTTATCCAGACACAATAGAAAGAAAGTTGAACTAATTTACAATTGGGCAGGATATATTGTGCTTTGCTACTTAAAAGACAGTGCAGACCTACAGGTTTTCTCCCAGTATGCTTCATGGCTATGTTATCTATAGCTCATCTCCTGCTTGCTACACAGTAGCACTTCATAAACCTCTCAAGACTAAGAAAATTCACATTTCAGGATGGCTTCTTCTAAGTTGAAAGAATATAAATAAAAATCACCTAGTCCTGCTCACACTGAAGTCAAGAGGAATCTGATACTGACATGCACTTGAATAAGCATGCAAATCTCTAAAACTCTACAAAGTATTTCCAGAGATCAGGGATATTTTTCCCCAAAGAATCTGATAATCTAGGTAGATTTTCCATTTTAGGGTTCCCAAATCAGAAAAATCAGATTTGAAAATCAAGTGTCTTATTTGGGCACCCAACCATCCCCAGGAACCAGATTTTGCCTCCACCTGGGATCTAACTTCTGC